ATCCTAATTGTAATTTGTATGTTGTAACCTGCGTAGGTAAAAAGTAAAACACCGTGGCTATACTGCTACAGCTTTATTAATGATCTGGACGATATTTAAGAACTACAAAAAGATGATAGGCTTGACTTTCAAAGTTTCAATCAAAAGAAAAATAAATTTATTAAGAATTCAATATATTAACTAGAAAACACCATTTACATGTATATCTAAAAGTTCGATCTCAGCATATGAATTTTGTTTAAGCTCATAATCTGATGTGGATCTAAATGATGATCCTACAATTCCTTTTAAAGTAAAGTTATATATTTATGTACATTAAAGAAATGAATACCTTATTAAGGAAAATGGATAAACCTTACATGATTAAGTTATTAAATTAAATTTGCCTTAATCTCACCAAAAACAGGTTGTAGCTAATTGTTTTGTAGCTGAGAGCCTCTGTGCAGTTTTCAACGAAACAAAATTTGATATAATTCAAAATTTCAAATGGTAAAGAAGAGACTATCGTCCAAAATTATAGTGCTATACTGTGCCTGCTACAATAAATTCATAATAATGCTTATAAAATGGAAATAAATTCTTTTAATAATTTAAGAAAATTAGTGGGATCAGTGGAATCACTGCAATGAATATGCCTGAGTTCATATATTTGTTCTTAGGAACAGAATAGCTTCAGTCGGAGTCGGAGTCTGGACAATTTTACCAACTCCGACTCCGACTCCACAAGCTGAAATTTCCTCCGACTCCGACTCCGACTCCACAGCCCTGCTGTTTTCTCCAGTTTTGTTGTGTTAGCGATGAATACGGAAAGACAAGGTGACAAGTATGTTTCCAAGAAGCGGTCTGGTGATTGAATGGCCGGTGGTGAACGTAAAAGAGGTTTACAAGAACGCAACTATCGCGTTGTAGCCCGTGCCATCTTAGCGACCGCCCGGGCTGTTATTGTATGCTTTTTAGGTGGTGCTGCCACCTTTCAAGTCAAGATAATGGCCTCTACCTCTACTGGGGGTCCTACTGGTGCTGGTGGGGGTGGGACAAACCCACCTAAGCGGTCAAATAAGTAAAAGGAGAAGCGGGACTATCATATAGGAGTTAAGTTTGCCAAGTACTCGATGCAGGATAAGCAGAGTGTGATTAAATTACTTGAGGAGGGCCTAAAAGCTAGTTTCCGGAAAGCATAATCAAGTCAATAAAGGCCGAATTTGTAGCATTTGGAGGTTATAAATGGGAAAATCAGAAGTTGATGTAGAGTGGCCAGTCTAAACCAAAATTTTGTCAAATTACGTATTTTTGAGTTCCGACGTTAGTGATTGAGCTGTGTAATGACAAAATTTTCGTTTGTAATTCACTTTAAAATGGTTGGCATGCTGAAAAGTGAGAGTTTTGTGGTGCTGAGAAGAAAAAGAGACACCCATTTAGATTTTCTATGTATTATTTAAGCATTTTTGACTTACGACCAATTCGACTTACGACCTGGATTTGGGTCCCTAACCCCGTCTTAAGTCGAGGAGCAGCTGTAGTTTATGTATAGTATAGTCTGCATTTACGCGGTCAATTGCACCCGTGGAGGCCCGCGTAAAACGAGAAACGCGTAAATGAAATAACAGAATAGAAGATTAATTGAAATAGACTAGGCAGACCCCCAAACTCCACTTTTTCTGACACAATACGTACATTGTAGTAAAAATAACATCTTAATTTTATGATGATATGCACACACAATTAATAATTAAGAGAAATATCAATAATATTAGGTTTTTTAACACTTACGTTAGTAGAAAAGCTGGGTCGGCACACATGGATGGCGGCTGGTTCCGAGGCAGAGGGCAGATTAGTTGCCCTCCGGTGAACCACTTTCACTACTCACAGAGGTTTGCAGGGCCTCCAAGACAAACCCCTCAAAGTCCATATCCGAACTGTCAATATCACTATCACTGACTTGGGCTGGCTGTGGTTGTGGTGAGTTGCGGGCGAGAAAGTCCTCAATACTAAGTTGACGACTAGCATTGATGTTGTCGAGATAGATCTGGATATACGGCTCCATAACTTTCGACAGAAGGTTATTAGACACTTCATACCGATGCTTGTCTGGGTCGTTGTCAAGGATGAGCTAAATTTTCACCCCCAACTCGATGATTTCCTTCACATTATCATGGTTTGGTCCAGGTAATTCAAGGTTTTTCTCTGGTGGTGGGAGCCCCGCAGAAGCCGTTGTGAGGTGAATAGCGGGCACAAGAGAGAACTGTATACGCGGACTGAGAACAATGAGACAGGCCCGGCTAGGTCAGCGACTTCTTCCCTCTGGTGGCAGAACACGTCATGTTACATTAGACCAATCACAGCTAGCGGCGGAGGGAGGTAAGGATGTGTGGCCCAATCACAGTCCGATACGTTATCAGCGATAACGTAAGAGCGGCCTAATGTGCACCACTCACCGCACCGCTTCCCGCCTATGGTCAAGACTGGACAGCGTGGGTAAAAAATGGCGCGGCGGTTTGGACCTCTCCAGCCGCTCGCCGCGTAAATGATCAAATTTACCGCGTAATTAAAGCATTTTCATTCTGGCAAGGCACCGCGTAAATGACCAAACGCGTAAACAAAAACTGCGTAAATGCAGACTATACTGTATTTGCGTTTGGCGAATTTTAATTTGAAGCAAATTTTTCCTGTCTATATTACTCATGAAATACAAGATCTTACTGTACATAGTGCCTCACAATGCCATGTTTAGTGAATTTAACGCAATTGAACTTTGTTGAACATATCAGTGTTCATGTTTAACATAGTTGAACGTCCTATGTGCCAAATGATAATGTAATGTAACTGAGTGTCTTCTGTGTTGAGTGATCCATGTGTTCCTTTGCCAGACATGCGTTGTTACATTTTTTACTTCATCCATTCTAGCTGCTGCTCTCCCGCCCAACAGGCACTGTGTGGGTCGCTGGAGCTGCCAGGTGGTGGTGGCCAGTGGCCGATATGATGTGTTTAATTCACAGGCATTAAGATCTTGAGTTGAGGGTGGCCGACGAGAGTCGTAGGCCTACGGGTGCGGCTGTGTCCAGCAAGCATGGGTTGAACCCAGGACAAGGGGAAACCTAGCCGCAGTGTCATGGAAAGTAAATGTCCAACTTGTTTTGAATACAAATAGCATTATTGGCATAAGACTGTGGTGTGGTAACATTTTGTATGTATCCGTACTTGTTGTCTCAGGTATTTGACTTCCACCTAGTAAATGAATACCGGTGTATCCTGTGATTTGAGGAGTGTAAAAAAGTATAAAAGTGATAGAGACGAGACAAGAGGTAAGATTGCATCACTGACTCATGGAGTCGTGATAACTGTGTGCCAGAGTAACCTGTATTCCCAAGTGTGTAGAAAATTAATAATACTGTACAAGAACAATCTTGGAGTGTTAATAAGTAGTAATGTAATTGAAGTGCAGGCGACCAGTCCTAGTTGTGTGTGTCACTGTAATAGAATGTCACCAGTAACCTTAGTACTTTTGACTGAGCATTGGTCCTGTTGACATGAATATTTGTGGCTGACGTGGAAGTAATGCCAAGTGATCTTTGGAATTTGTAACAGTGTTAACATAAATTTGGTCAAGTCTTGAGTGAACCCCAAGGAGTGTATGTTCTGTTAAAGTGTTCAGGTACTCAACTTCATTTTAAATAAACCATCTTTATTGTATGTTGGGTTATCAATATCCTGCAGTATCACCTTTGTTGTCACCATATCTTGATACCATGAGATATCCTGAATCCACGAGCCCTAGCCCTCGCCATGCTACCACTTTAATTGAGTGGTTCAATGTTGATGTTAGGTTCTAAAGAAAGCCTGGGTGGTGGCAGCTGTAATATGTAAGTACAGTAATTACACGAGTGTGTAAGAATAGAGAAAAATGTGGTTCTCCCAGGTTAACCCACAAAACACAATATAACTTAGTAAATCTGAGAATAAAATTAAGTAAGAGGAAATAAACAAATAAGTAAGAAACTGAAATAAAGAGAAATTAAAGTAGAAAAAAAACAAAGAAATAAAGAAGAAACAGAGAAGAAACAATAAATAAGAAATAAAAGAAAGGTACAGTAAAAGAAATAGTCCCCCCCCCCTTCAAAATGGTGAACAACAATTTTATCCCCCTACAAAATGGTGACAGCAGTGACAATAATGATTTCCCGCCCCTACACTCTGGTACAAAATCATCTTTCGACCACAACTAGAATAGATGCAGTGGATAAAAATTTATTCACTTTTCACTAGTGGTAATTATTTTCACTCGTGATGGTAGCCTAAATGTAATGGGATCGTGTCTGTCCATGAGAGATGCATAGTACAGTATAGATTCTAGGAAAACTTACTGAACTACCCGGAAAAATTCCGGGGATGTGCAATTTTTTCAAGTGATGAGAAAATTTGTCTCCATACCCAGAAATCTCTCAAACCTGGAAATGCCCAGCATCAATTATTCCAGCTAATGGGGATATCACTGTATATAAAAGCAATATTTCACTATAATTCTGCTAGAACAATAAACATGAAAGAACAAAGTGATACTAGGAGGTCATGAAGAGTTCACACTGTAAGCAAAGAGGGAAAGCAAGAGCATACCTCTCCAGAGTCCACCAACACAAGCCAACTGCTCCACTCCCTCAGATACATTGTTGCATTTAACTTTTATTATTTACAATATCAATTCACTATGGTAATTGAGTATAAAGTAAAAGGCCAACTTGGGAAAAGTTAATATCCTTTGCCTCCACACTGATGCAAGTATTTCAGTTTTGTGGTGCTGTAGTGCACTTTGAGAGCTGCAGATAATCAAGTACATCAGCATATATATAAATCTAAGTATCTTTTTTAACCATATATATAATCAATCCACAAATACTAAACACATGAATTTTTGGAGGTTTTGTGTACTGTATATTATATAACTATGGCCAGCTGCAAATTAGCCATGCACTATAGCTCTGAAGTGGAGAAGCTTACACACTTACATCATAAGTAGCATCAGCCTCATTGGTCACTGTCAGCTGCGCTAATTCCCCGAGACCCTCCAATGCATCCTCCTCTCCCCCCGGCCCTCCAACATATGCTCGACGGGAGCCTGGACCAAACCCCAAAACACCAGCTGGAAGTAAAATACAGAAATGTCAATGTTTACTCTTAGCATTTATGATAACTATACTGTACTGTACAGCTTATTTACTCCAGCATATGGCAGATAATGGGAGCACAAGGCAAGATTACTGGACTACAGTAGCAGCTCTATTGCCTCAGCACCTGCCGGCATCACTACAAACAGTAAAGTGGGAGGTGCTAATCAAGTACTGCTAGACCAGAGCTCACTACCCCAATCATGCCTGCCCATTACAGTGTCAACCATAAACCTATCATGTACAACAAGACTGAAGTATTGAAGTTTATTTTCACCTCAGAAAAATCATGTCATATTCCCCAATCCAACTGGAAATTATGAAGTATGACGCTGACTGGGTAGCTCTTAAAAGCCCTTCTTCTACAGGAAGTGTATTCATATCACTACCTTTCTGGAACTTCATATCACTGATAAATTACAATAGGTACATAGGTTCCATCTTAAGAAGTCATATGGCTGGAATACACTTGTTCAGTGGAAAAAATAGGTGGATTAATACCTGCAAGTAATTATAAAAGTGTCAAAGAATTAAAAAACAAATAAAAAACTTATGATAAAAAGGCATTTACGATAAAAAAAAAAAAAAAACGTAGAATACAGTATATTGCTTAATAATTTTCCCAAATGGTCATACTATACACACTAACAATAGAGTGTAGATTTGAGGGAAAAAAAAAGCTGTACAAATGTGTATAGTAAAATCTGGAAAAAAAGGATAGAAGTAATACAAAGAAAAAATGTACAAGTTTACCTCCTGATAAAAGAAAAAGTAAATATGAAGTAATATCCACTACGGAACAAGCACATAAAAGAATCAAAATCTATTCTTATATGTGCAGCGTTGATGTCTTGTACCAAGTTCATGCCAAGCTCAAGCATATACGAGCAAATGCTTGCAACTCAAGTAGCAAAACGCATCAATCACTGCAGTAACCACCAGCACCACAAGGGAAGGAGAAGCCCAAGTATTATCTCTTAATGATTTTTTATGATACATTGGTTTGTCAACACTAATATGGCAATAATTAAGAGTATAATATGCTACCTGGGATGCTCCTTGTTATTAGTTACATGCTAATGAATGTGTGACTCTAGGTGACATACACACCACCATCAACACAAGCAACTGAGGGATCAAAGCGCACTGATTACGACAGGTTTTACCGCAAAAACCACCAGCACCACCGGAAGAAAAAAGTGCATAATGAACTTGATAAGATCCAAAATGACCACAACTCCTCACCCTTAGCAAGGAATCACCTTAACTGTGAAACACATCATAAATGAGGACTTGTTGCATATGTACACAGATCCAAAACAACCATTTCCTTCATGACCTCAAGTATTTTGGAACAAGCTGACTCTTGAGTTGAATTCAGTCAAGGTGATTTCTAAGAATGTGAATAATACTGAATACCCCAGGAGTTCTAAGGGTGCATTGAAGATCAATAGAAGAAAATTATGACAAACTTATTAAAGAACCAAGAACACCCCAAACAACAACCTAACATACTTTGTGCCATTGCCTTATGAGACAAACTCTTTGCCAATGTCTGTTGCAGGGTAGCCATAACCAGAGTGAGAGAGTGTGGTCAGACGAGAGTGGCTGAGCATGGTGCAAACTTACTGGTGTGGACAGTGGTGGTGGTTGTGGTGGTGGTGGTTGTGGCAGTGGTGGGTGGGGAGGGGGAAGTGTGTTGAGGAGTTGGGCTACCCCTTGCCCCCACTGCTGCACGATACCTAGCTTTGAGGGCTTCTAGCGCAGGGGGCGGGCCAGCCCAATCCCCCCGAAATGATGGAAGCCTCCCCTCCTCCACTTCCTCCTCAATGCCCTCCATTTCCTCCTCCTCCTCACCCTCCAATTCCAGCCTGCGCCTGGTGCCCGTCCAAGTGGCCCTGCGCCCGCCCACCAGGTGCGCTACACGACACAATCCACACCACGGGCACGCCGCCACACCACGCCAGAATAAACCATAACGGTCAACACCTCAGGAAAGTACTCAACAAGGTGACAACACATACCAGTGCTACACAGTGAAGGATGTTCAACTGTGTAGTGGCCTGGTAAGTCTTGGTGTCAACTGATCAAACTCCTATTTTACTATTCTGAGGCCTGAAATAATTCTTTATTTCTCACCAACCTTAGATTTCCAGTTCTGCAGTGACCCACAATTAAGACTAAAATTGTTAGTTCATTGATGCTCATTTGCCTTACAAAATATAAAGTTATCCTACAATGTCTGCATAATACATGGGACTGACAAATAAACAGAATAATTCAGTACAAAAAATGTGCTACACTATGTAATAAAATGTTCCCAGTTATTTGTTTTTCATTAGTGACTTAGTTGACTCCCAATAAATGTCAGAGAATGGGTGTTTCTTTTACAGTGAACAAGACGAACTATATAACCCACACAAAATTTACACATATCTGTTAAGACATTATAAATAAAAAAGTCCTTCTCAAAAAATGTAAAAAACAAGGAAGTGGCAAAAAATTAAAGATCGTAAGTATTACATCAACATTATTACAACCTCCAACCAAACCAGCCAACACCTACTGTCATTATTTCCCAAGTTAAACATCATTGTAACTAAATAATATAACCATATCAAACTATACAATGCGAGAGCTCAAGTGAACTATATTTAGATATACAAGAGGCTTAGTAATTTATTATAACAACATATTCTTAACCCAATCTGGAAGGAAACTGTCTGCTTAAGTCTCAAGACCTAATACTGTATAAGGTTTACAACTACAGTATATTGAAGCTACAATTTCTTAACCATTTAGATAAAAACATTCTTATTGATATTAATGAGAAAAAGAATCCAAGTTTCACTTCCCTTTAACCCTTCAGAGACAATTCACGCAACTGTTGTGTAATGCCCGCCAGGATGACTCGCGCACCTGTTGTCTTGTAAGTCTTCCCTTCCGCATCTAAACAATTTTGTAGGGTTATATGGGTCCCCAGCCAGACTAATATACACACAAATATGCCTGAGATGCACATTTTAAAATATTAAACAAGTGCATTAATCACTGATCATAAGAATTATGCCGAATATTATCATAAAGATCCAGAACCTTGTCACACATTTGTAGTCTCTTACATCTTTTTAATTTTCTTCAATAAATCAAAAGGTTTTGCTAAAAAACCTAAGTACAATAAATTGGATGATTTTAAATAACAAGATATTAAACTCAAAATGTTCTTAAACTTCTTACATCAGAAAAATTTAAATTTTTCAAATCCCGAAAATCTATCATCCGGGCGGTCATGCAATTGTCACTAAAGGGTTAAGACGATGCAATGTAAATCCTATATAAAAAAAGGTTATGTACTAATTCAAATAGCCAAGCTGTACACACCAAGCACTTAACTGTTCACTGAGTGCCTGTATCGCCATAATACTGTTAATATTTCATTCACATTAATCATAAAATTCATGAACCTAAGGAAAAAATTAAATGAATAAGTTACAGGTGTTACAGTATTTGTTAAAGTACACCAGTAAAGCAAGTTTTACACAAGAGCAAAACAGAAATACTTAAAACTTGTACTGTATGTACTCAATGTCACATCACATCACATCACATAAGCAGACAATAGGCAGCAAAAAATTAGGTAAAATATGACAGTAGTGACTTGAAGGGTGACCCACTTATAATATGGGTCACTGTTATGTTTCCCAATGTGCAGCAGTGGCTCGTGGACACTAAGTCACACTGCATGAAAAATAAATGTTATCAGTTCTAGCTGTCACTTACAACACAACAGTGGTGGGCACAGCTAAACAAAAAGTTAGCTTCGCTAACCGCTAATCTGCTAACTAAAAAGTTAACTTTGCTAACGCTAAACCGATAAACAGCTAACAAAATTAGCGGAAGCTAACGCTAACCGCTAACTTTTATCATAAGAATTTAGCTTTTTTTTGGGGGGGGGGCGCTCTAAAACCCTTAAAAACAGACCTAGAGGTGAAATTTTCCTATGTTGTCTTGTAGCTTAGACATAGAGCTTTCTAAAAAGATATAGCATGCCAAGATCAGATGATGATCAACTTATCAAGGTGAACACTGTACACAATTTCACAAATAATTAATTTGCATTCTCATACAACCTATCGGCCTAATTCATTATTCATGTAAAGATGCAATACCAACCACACACACATTATACCAGTGCATTTTTATGTAACTTATTGTTGGTCTTAGTCATGTAAATAAACAGAAAACTCTAAACTTTCATAAAAAGTAAGTTTTTAGAAAATTTTGTTTGGCGTACTCCTTGGATGACATCATGGTTATGAACTTATGCAGTACTTAGCATAACCAAATATATTGACACAAAAAAATCCTCACTCACAGCCACTGCAGGCTCCTCAACACTGTCAACAGGCCCACCTGTCCCAGCATCGTCAGGCGGAACAAAAACGTCTTCACCGTCCATAACAATAAGCGATAACGTACGCTGCTATCGCTGACACTGAAAGACTGCTTAGACTGTCTGTAACGTGACAACGTCGTAAGTGAACTGAACTCAGAACTGCGGAATTACACAATGCTGCTCAGCTGCTGCAGCGCGGGGTCAACAAATCAAGTCTTGTCATGTTTACACGTACTAACACGCAGTCAACCAAGAGTGCCTGACTGGATGTTGGAGACACGCGTCGTGGCGTCACACACTTACAACAGACAGGAACAAACATGTATAAATTTTGTTAGCGGACTTAAAGCTAGCAGAACTAAATTTAGCGGAAGCTAATGGTTTCCAAAGTTAGCTAAAACGCTAATCCGCTAACGAGAAAGTTAGCTTCGCTAATTAGCGGAACCGTGCCCACCACTGCAACACAACACATGCAATGCTCTTATACTAGTACAATACTTGAAGGACAAGACCACAAAGCAGTCATTATGTTGGACACACAGTTTTAGTTGAGGCCATTTAACTTATATCAGAGGGGAA